ATTTAACGTGGCTGGTGTGAAAATCTTGTGTCATGTTCCCTGCACAATGGTCTTAGAGCATTTTACAGTGTGAAGGATCCCTGCTGTGGTACCAAACATGGGTTTAGAGCTGAGAGGATTTGGGCCTTTGGTGTTTTCCAAACATCAGGACAAAGTTTTCTGGACTCCTACTGAGCTGAAAGGGCCAAAATCCCCGCAGGTGGGTGAAAGCAGAATGGTAAAAAATAACCAGTGTGATTTCACATCTCACTTTTAAATGGGCACAGAACTGTGGGTGGTTTTTTTCCTCTGTAACAACTATTTGGGTGAGTTAAACAACCGCAGTCCTGGCAGATGAAACGTTTGGCAAACGCTGGATGTTCAACCTCCCCCGCGCTGCCCCGGCACGGAGGAACCATCTCTTCCTAACCTGTGCCTAATTTAGGGCCTGATCCCATCCAAAGATGTCGTGAAGGAGGTTGTGGAGCAGAAGCCAACGAGCTTGTTTGAGTTGCCTCACACGAGGGTTGACGTGCTCGGGTTGCGCCATCACCTGCAACTCCCTGGGACAGGAGCCCGGCGTGGAATTGTTCCCAGGTAAACAACCTTTCACTCCCCAGGTCACGCTGTAAATAATAATCAGGAGGAAAACCCCCGGGAGTTTTGCATATCTCCTTCATTTAGCTCATGGAGTGTCCCTGAGGGGGGGTCTGGGCAGGGAACAGCTTTTCCATTGGGTGGGAACAGCTCTGACTTCAGCTAGAGGCAAATTAAGAACAGAATCCCAGAATCCCACAATAGTTGGGGCTGGAAGGGGCCTGTAGAGATCACCCAGCCCAAGGCAGGGTCACCCAGAGCAGGTGACACAGGGGCACGTCCAGGTGGGTCTGGGATGTCTCCAGAGAGGGAGATTCCAAGCCTTTCCTGGGCACCTGTCCCACCCTCCATGGAAAGAAGCTCTTCCCCATGCTGAGGTGGAACTTCCTGAGGTTTAGTTTATGGATATCACTCCTTGTCCTGTCTCTGGCACCACTGAAAAGTCTGGCACCGTCCTCTTGCCATCTGAACCTTCTCTTGCTGTTGAAAACACTGTATTTTAATTCTATTAAAACCAATGTTACATTTAAGTGTGGCTCTAAAATATACATAAAAAATGTTGGCAGAAACACTTTGTCCTGTGGAAATTCCTCGAGGATCCGTCTGTGTTTTGGGTGAAGGAGCCAGAAATGAAAGAAATCATTCAAATATTGAAACTACCTGCAGGCTACGGAGTTTTATTTTCCAGCCCGTGATCCAAAGGGACACGGAGAGAGGAATCTTTTCCTGTCACCAATCACAAACCACTTCTCCCAGCAGTGCCATCACCAGCTCAGCCCCGTGTGAGGGACACGTGTCATCATGGAAAAGCCACCCTATGGCCCACCCAGGGGCACTTCTGCCGGCTCAGTCACTTCTTCTGCCTGGGGGGCCAGTGGCTTTTCTGTTTGCACTGCTGGCTCTTGGTGCTGGGAATGACCACGGGGCATTTCTGCTGCAGCACCTGGGAGCACCCACTCCCCCCCGGGCTGAGCTCTGAGACCCCCCCGAGGGCGTAGCCAGACCCTCCACTGTAGTACCCTGGTCCCCCAGTGACCCCCCCTGCCAAGGCATCACTGGGGGGTGCAGGGAATCCGTATCCGGACCCTCCTCCCAAATCCCCGGGGTGGAGGATGGACCCCCCCCCCGCCCCCCAGGCTGTGTCCCCAGTCCCCTTCTCCCCCCCTGGGGGCATAAACGGGGACTGTCCCCCCCGTGAGGCGCCAGCCGGACGTGTCCCCACAGTCCCCACTGGTGATCACCACAGAGCCCTCCCCGCCACACGTGTAGCCCCCCGAAACGCTGTAGGGGGGGGACGCTGGCACGGGAGGGCAGTAGGAGGGTCGTGGGCTGTAGGAGGGCCGTGGGCAGTAGGAAGGTCTCCGGGTGTAGGTGACTGAGCCTTCCCTACCACAGGAGAAGGAGGCGCGTCCGAGGGGGTCGGAGAAGCTCCCGGAGCAGAACCCTCCGTGGTGCAGAGAGATCTCCCTGGAGTAGCCCCGGTGCCTGTGGGCACATTTGGCTCGGAGACACCGGTAAAGCTGCGAGAGGAAAGAAAAAAAAACACACCCAAATTTGCCCAGTTTCGCTTCATTTCGCCCCGTGGCAGGTGGGGAGGGTTCATGGGGTGGGGAGGGGTCAGGGGGTGGGGCAAGAAAAGCTTTGTTGGGGCCTGGGGCAACTCCAGCCTTCAAAGCAGGGCACTGCTGAGCTCTTGGAGAGCATGGAATGGTTTGGGTTGGAAGGGACCTTAAAGATCATCCCCTTCCAACCCTCTGCCACGGGCAGGGACACCTTCCCTAGACCAGGTTGCTCCAAGCCCCTGTTTTTCAAATCCAAGGGTATCTGGACTCTTCGTGGGATAGTTTTCCTCCTTTTTATCTCCAGGGTGTATTTCCAGAGAACCAAAATCTGAGGGACATTCTTTTACCATCTAAGAACTGCCCTGGCTTTCCCCACTCACCTTCATGTCTGCAGCTGCAGAGCTGCAAAACCAGCCAGGATTATCCCTGTTTCTGTTTTCAGCCTGCTGCAAGAGCAGTGGATCAGAGTTTCCACTCCCCAGGACATTTCTGGCTCTGTTATTGCACCCCCAAAGGTCTTTTATGGAAGGTAATTGGCCCAGACATAGAGGTTTGTGGCCATTCTGAAGCAGAGATTGTTATTAAATAATATCAAAAATGGTCCCAGACTTTGCAAGCACTTTCAGACCCACAGAGGTTGTGCAGTCACCACGTGCTGGTCCCACCACAGGCTAATCTGGGTTTTGCCCTCTGGCTCCCAGTCTGGTGACTGGATTTCACCTTTCTCCCTAAGGATTTGATCCATCCAGAAGAAACTGTCCAGATCCCAAGGACTTTGCTCAGGCAAGCACAGGTCGAGGTCCCAAAGGAAGGTGCCTCCCACGAATATGAATTAATAAAGTCTCAGAAAAAAATCAGACTTACCTTCTTGAGCCATAGGAAACACATTTAGAAGGTAAAAGTCGACTGAATGAGGAGCTTTAACAGCCTCAGGAACATTTATATGGTGTTTAACATATATGGGAAGTGAGACACCCTCGGGAATGATAAGGATTATTTACCTATCAAACTGGGATTTCAGTGTTTGACTCATGGCGACGATCCATATCTCCCTTCACCCAGTAATTGTTACTCCTGCCTAATGAGCCCGTTCCTGAGCTCCTGCCCTGGGCTGTGGAGGAACATTCCGGCCCCCAGAGAGGTGGGGGAGACCCGGGGAGGTGGGTGGGAATGTGGGTGTAGGGGAATGCAGAGGATTAGGGAGCGTGGGGCAGAGGAGCAGCTGGTGGCACTTTGATCCCTCCAGCAGCTCCCCGGGGGCTCCAGGGGGAGATTTTCTGAAGGAAAAACATTTGCATCCAAACCAGAAGGTCACCAAAAGGGACTGATTCCCCAGCTGGGAATTTTGCAAGGGTGCTAGAGATGCTCTGGGAGGTTCATGAGAGAACTGTGGAGGTGAGAGTGTCCTAATGCTTAAACCCAGAGTGGCTGGTGTTTTAAGGCAGGATGATGCCTCCAAATGCCTCCCTTCCTCCTTTCTCATATCCTCCTTCTGGCTTGGAAAGGGGGCTCGGGGTGGTCTGGAGGGTTCCAGATCCGAGCTGCATCCCCACCCTGCTCCAGCCTGGCTCTGCAGAGCAGCTCCTGCAGTTTGGGCCAGGCCTGCTCAGCTCCAAGGAATTTTGCTGTGGTGACAGCAAGTCCCAGCTTTGGCCAAAGGCCAAGTCTGTGGGGCAGAAAGCCTTGCTCAGGGTGCTGGTGCTGCCACAGCAGGTTGTAAAAGCCTGGGCAGGGAGGGATTTGAGGCCTGGAGGCATCTTTTGGAGCGTGTGGAGCTGCCTGAGGGACTTGCTGCTGGTTTTATTTCCTTTACAGCCCAGGGCTGATTTGGCTCTCTCAGTGTGCGGGGCTTCCCTCTGGGAACAGATCATGGAATCCCAGAATACCTGAGGCTGGAAAAGCCCTCCAGGATCATCCAGTCCCCCCTGTGCCCCATCCCCACCTTGGCCCCCAGCCCAGAGCACTCAGTGCCACATCCAGGCCTTCCCTGGGCACCTCCAGGGCTGGGGACTCCCCCACCTCCCTGGGCAGCCCCTGCCAAGGCCTGACCACCCTTTCCATGGGGAAATTCGTCCTCATGTCCAACCTGACCTTCCCCTGGCACAGCTTGAGGCCGTGTCCTCAGTTGCCCTGAGGTTTGCAAAGCTGAAGGAAGGGGGAGGGTGGCAGGGACGTGATGTTGTTGTTCACTTTGGGCATCCACAGCTGCTCTTGGGCCATCCCCAGTTCCAGCTCCTCTGAACTGAGCCTGGTGGGCCTGGTCAGGTCTCCCATCAGCTCCACAGATGTGGCCACTGGGTGCTGGTCCCTCAGAGGATGTGGGACCAGGAGCTGGGGTGGCTGCACCATGACCAGGCACCAAAGGGGTGTTGGGTGCTGTGGTTATTTGGCATTTTGGGCTCTGCTGTTCCTCTACCAGGTAGAAAACGAAGGTCCAAACACTCTGGGGCAATAAACTGGGTGACTTTAGAGCTTCACCTACAGCAAAGCACCACTGAACCCATCATCTCCTTTACAAGGAGGAGTGAAGCATCTCATCAGACGGATTTCTGCCTTCCAAGACCAGGAGATGCTGGTTGGTAACACAAGAAATAAACAAACTTCCCAAAAAAGGCAGTTTTGAGCTATTATAATATTTATTAGATATCAAAGGGGCCTTTGGAAAAGCAGCACAACATTATCAAAGGCCTCCCAACACCAGCAGGAGGGCACGGGGTAAGTCCTGGCATTCTCAGCACAGGGATGCAGCATCCAGGGGAGAGGAGAGGACACAAGAGAAGGACCAGGCAATCAGAGCCAGGTCTGGAGGTGCCCCAGCAGAGGCTCAGCTGGTCCTGCTGGACCTGGAGCTGCCCCAGGTTGTCACTTCTGGCCGGAGGGGAAGCAGCAGCTCTGCTTGGACTGGTGGGACACGATGCTGGGAATGGCGATGGGGCACTTCTGCTGGGAGGACTGGGAGGACCCTCCAGAGCTGATGATGATGGTCTGGCCCGAGGAGCCGCCCCCGGATCCTCCCCCACAGCATCCAGAGGATCCTCCACCTCCCACGATGATCTTCCCTCCTGAAAAACCCCCACCACATCCTCCTCCCATGCCATAGCTGGATCCTCCACCACAGTATCCAGAGGAACCTCCACTGCCTCCTCCCACAATGATGGTCTTTGATCCTGAAGATCCACCACCGTACCCCCCTCCCATCCCATAGCTGGACCCTCCACCACAGTACCCAGAGGAACCTCCACCACCTCCACCTACAATGATGCTCTTTGATCCTGAAGATCCACCACCATAACCACCACCGTATCCTCCTCCCATCCCATATCCTGAGGATCCTCCACTGCAGCATCCAGAGGAACCCCCACTGATTCCACCTCCAATGATGCTTTTTGATCCTGAATATCCACCACCATACCCTCCTCCCATGCCATAGCCACCACTGCATCCTCCACTGCCTCCACCTACAATGATGGTCTTTGACCCTGAAGAGCCACCACCATAACCACCACCGTATCCTCCTCCTATTCCATAGCTGGATCCTCCACTGCAGCATCCAGAGGAACTTCCACCACTACCTCCACCCACAATGATGCTCTTTGATCCTGAAGATCCACCACCATATCCTCCTCCCATCCTGTAGCCTGAACATCCTCCACTGGAACCTCCACCTCCAAGTATGACCTTGCCTCCTGAAGATCCACCACCATATCCTCCCCCCATCCCGCAGCCACCGCTGGATCCTCCACTGCAGCATCCAGAGGACCCTCCACTGCTTCCTCCTGCAATGATGACCTTGCCTCCTGAGGACCCACCACTGTACCCTCCTCCCATGCCATAGCCAGAGGAGCCCCCGCAGCAGGAGGAGCCCTGGGACTGGAAGCTGGAGGAGCTGCCCCCGTGGCACGAGGAGCCCCCACTGTGGCACCCGCTGGACTGGGAGGACATCCCGTGGCAGCCCCCGGAGCTTTGTCTGGAGCACATCTCGGAGCTGGGAACCTGCAAGGAACAGCGTGGTCAGAAAGGAGAACCTTGGAGGGGCAGCTGAGCCTTCACAGCAGACAAAAAAATGGAAGAGGAGCCAGGAGATGCCCCTTTTGCCCCATTCCTGGAGCTTTAACCTCCCTCACCCTCGTGAGCTCCCTGGGAGTGCCCTGCAGGGCACAGCAGTTACAGGAACACTCTCTGTGAAGGGAGACCGTGAGCACACATGTGCACACATGCTCTGACACGCTCTGAGCTGGCAACCTGAAACATTTCGTCCCGCTGGAGATCCCTCTGGATGCCCAAAACTCCCAGCAGCTGAAAATTCAGCCCCCCGAGCATCGGCTGCAACTCCCCCCTCTAAGGAAGGTGGTTCTGTTGGCACATCAGATGGGTTTCTGGAGCCACCACGGTTCCCTCACTCAAAGAACCCTCAAAGACCGGCTGGTGGAGGGATCTCTGTGCGTGGGGGTTCCAGAATTTTCCGTATCAACGGCCTTACCTTCGGTGGATCTGGGAACTGTGCGATGCTCGGCGGCGGGTGAATGAGGAGCCCTGGGATGGGTGAGCTTTTATATCGTGTACATCGCGCTCCCGAGGGAAGTGAGACACCCTAAGGAATGCTGAGAGGTTTATTGACAGAGAGCTTGGCTCTGGCTGCCTCCTTCTTTGACTCACTTGCAGCACAGGGGTGATGGGAAGGAGATGCATCAACCACTTTCTGCAGCACAGTTTATAATTCTATTTAATGATTCCCTTCCGGGAGCCTTGCCCTCAAACGTTGGGGGCAAACGGCTTCTTGGAGTCTGATCTGGGGGCTCCCTGATGTGTTTCTGATGAGCTGCAGCTTCTTGGGTGCTCAGCAGAGAGTGGAGATGCTGAGAGGTGGAGGCTGGAGTGAGTTTGGGCCAGAGAGTGATGGAAGGACGAGGGTGAAGGATGTGCTGGAGCAGAGCTCCAGAGAATTTTGGAGAAGGGGGTTTCCTCAAGGACTGGCAAGAGGGGGAGCTGGATGGGGAGCAGGAGTATGTCTAGTATGTCCTTTCCTGCTGGGAAAGGCTCAACAGGCCAGAGGTACCTCCTCAGATGGAGAGCACTGCGTTGGAGCACCTCAGCCCAGACCCATTTCAGAGGACACTGCGAGGGTGACAGAGGAGGGGGGACATTTCCCCTCATCCTTTTGGGAGCCTGAGGTGGAAGGGGCTGTTGGACTGAGCAGAGAGGCCTGTGCTCAGCTCCAGCTCCCAGGGGTCCCAACCTCCAAACCGGAGTGAGCAAAGTCTTGAAACCCTTCTGTTGGCAAAGGTGCCTTTGAAGGCCTCAAGCCCCTTCCCTTGAGCTCTAGGGCAGGAAACATTTCCTCTGCCTCAGCAGGACCCATTTTCTGAGGGTCCTCACTGACCAACCCTCCCACACGTGAGCTGGGGAGTCACCTGGGTATTTTCCTTGCTGCAGAGGGACAGTTTGCCAGCACAGCTGTCCCAGCACTCATCCTGCCACTGCGTCACGCGTGCTTGGAGCCTGACAGCAGATCCACCCTCCTGGGACACTGAGCAGAGAGGGAGTAATCGGGGATTTTACCTGTGAGGACTCCTGACAGCAGCAGGTTCCAGCCCTGTCACCATGAACATGATTTTGGGAGTGCACACACACCCCTCTGGTATGGGGACAGGACCATCAGCACCAGGAACACTCGTGCAGGGGGAGTTCCTTCACTTTGCTTTGGACTCCTTCCAGTGCAAAGAGCCTCATCTGTGCTCTCATCACCAGATCTGAGGTGTCACCGCAGTCCTGGCTCTCAGCTGAGCGTGGGTGTTGTACCGCTGAGGATCTCAACACCGTGATCCCTTCCGTGCACTGACGTGTAGGGACTTGCACAGAGGGACACCCAGGATTAGCAGCTCATCAGCACACAGGGATACCCAGGATTAGCAGCTCTTTGGGACCCAGGGTGTGAGGAAAGGCCGTGGAAGCTTTTGGAAGGGGTGGTGAGAGGGGCTCACAGTCCAACGATGGATTGTGGAGACCCCAAGGTTGGACCCTGCAGGGATTGGAAACACTGAACCTGCAGCACATGGACTTGTTTGGTACCTGCCAGGTGTGGAGGAGAAGTGTGGCTGGATCCAGAGCTGCTGGAGGGGTCGGCACTGCCACAACCTCTCCCAGCCTACAGAGCAACTTTGATGCCTGTGCTGGGCAAAGGGAAGGGGGGAGGCAAAAGGCTTTGTGGTGGAGGCTGCCCAGATTAGGGCCATGCTGCCCAGGGCTCTGCCCGGGCCCTCTTCTGCCCCACAGTGCCATCACCCCCAGGTCAGGTCACCTTTCAAACACCTCACCCTGAGGTGTGTTGCTGTGAGAGGGGAAAAACCCTTGGCCAGATCCCAGAGTCCCTTTTCCCAGAGCTTCCCTCATGCCCAGCAGTGCCAGTGTTGCTGGTGTGGGACACAGTGAAGACACTCCTGGGGTAAGAAGAACTCCCCAGTTTTTGTCCAAGAGGCAGAAGCTGGTCAGTCAGGATCCCTCAGGAGTTTGAATGGCCAATGATTTCCTTTATTCCTGATTCTGTTTCCTCCCCAACAATCATGTTTGTGAGATGGACAAAACCCCTCTTGGCTTCAAGTTCACTGGACCCAGGACTAATCACACCTATCCCAAAGGTGGCTTTGGGAGTCCTATTTGAGAGGACTTTCCCACTTTGAGAGGAAAGCAGCCCTGTCCTGGGCTGCATCCAAAGGGGTGTGGGCAGCAGGTGAGGGAAGGGATTCTCCCCCTCTATTCTGCTCTGGTGAGATCCCACCTGGAATACTGAGTCCAGTTCTGGTGTCCCCAGCGTAAGAGGGACATGGAACTGTTGGAGCAAGTCCAGAGGGGGCCACGAAGTTGATAAAGGGACTGGAGTATCTCCCCTATGGAGAATTGTTCCCTGTGAGAGGGGGGAGGCCCTGGCACAGGTTGCCCAGAGCATCTGTGGCTGCCCCATCCCTGGGAGTGTCCAAGGCCAGGCTGGAGCAATCTGAGATAGTGGAAAGTGTCCCTGCCCATGGCAGGGGATGGAACTGGGTGAACTTCAAGGTCCCTTCCAACCCAAACCATTCCATAATTCCACGATTTCTTTGGGAAGGGAAAACTGAGGTGGAGCAATTTCCCAGGTTGAAGTTGCAAACCCTGGGGGATGTTATTTGCCAGAGGGACAATGACCATCTGCTTCCACAGGGAGGTTTCTCTCAGGGAAGATCTGTCAACAGCTCCCTGCTCCAGCACTAGAGGCCAGAGAACATTCCACAGCGGAATCTTTTTGATGCATTATTCATTTTTTTGGGAAGTAAACAGGGGCCTGACAAAGGGTAAAAGCAACCTCACACAACCAGTTCTGTCTGGACACCGAAATCTTTATTTCCTGTCACACTGATGGCACAGAGGAGCCACCTGGGAATTCACAGCTCTGGGATGTAGCACCAACGGGACACGAGGGCAGAGGGTGTGCACGGAGGGAGCAGCAAACCGGGAAGGCAGAGCTGGGCTGGTCCTGCTGGACCTGGAGCTGCCCTGGCTGTCACTTCTGGCCGGAGGGGAAGCAGCAGCTCTGCTTGCTCTGGTGGGACATGCTGGGGATGATGATGGGGCACTTCTGCTGGGAGGACTGGGAGGAGCCTCCGCCGCCACCTCCAGAGCTGATGATGATGGTCTGGCCCGAGGAGCCGCCCCCGGATCCTCCCCCGCAGCATCCAGAGGATCCTCCACCACCTCCACCTCCAATGATGATCTTCCCTCCTGAGGATCCACCACTGGATCCCCCACCACAGCATCCAGAGGATCCTCCACCACCTCCCATGATGATCTTCCCTCCTGAGGATCCACCACCAGATCCTCCCCCGCAGCATCCAGAGGATCCTCCACCTCCCATCATGCTCTTTGAGGAACCACCACCGTATCCTCCTCCCATGCCACCACCAGATCCTCCACTACCTCCCCCTCCAATGATGATCTTTGCTCCTGATCCACCACCAGATCCTCCTCCCATGCCACCCCCGGATCCTCCCCCACAGCATCCAGAGGATCCTCCACCACCTCCACCTCCCATTACGCCCTTTGAAGATCCTCCTCCCATCCCACCACCAGATCCTCCACCACAGCATCCAGAACCACCACCACCTCCCCCTCCAAC